TAATATTTGTCTAACTTCTTCACTAGACTGTAAGTTTCTTGAGGGTTTACCCAAGAATGTAGACAAGCACCTAGCACTGTGCCTGGCACAGAGTAAGCAGTTGGTCGATATCTGTTGAAAGCATGAACCACTTACTCTAGACAGGTTTACTCATTTCGTCCTAAAATATGTCTTGCATATTTAATCTATTTTTTTTTAAATAATTATGTGTGCCTTTCACTTTACACTGCTGTAATTTCCCCATGGCCTATAGAACTAAACCTGGTTTCCACCTGCCCCTTAGAGGACTTCTTGCTACCTATTACTGTTCTTTCCAATGAATTCTTGTAACATTTACCATCTTTACTACTCATTGGCAATACATGTTGTCCTATATATTCCCTCTCCTATATACTTCTCATATCTCTCTTAATCTTGTGTGACTATATCAATAGGGAAGTGCTTACTTTAGTTTTACAGTTTTTACCATAGAAGACTATGCTGGTGACTTTGGAGGTTGCAAAAATGCATATGACAAAATCCTTGCTATAAAGGAACTTAATATTCAAATAAAAGAAGAGAAAGGAAAAACTAACATTCATGGAGCAGTGCTTTTGAATCAGAGATCATAGGCAACTTTTATACAATTGATTTTTACTGTACAAATACCAAGGTCATTAGGGTGGCAAGTACAGTACTTGAATAAGTAAAAATTCTATAAAGTACTATAGGATTTAGTTCATTCAGTAAATATTTACTGAAGGTGTACTGTGTGCCAGGCACAGTGATAAGTGCCAGCAATACAGAGTCTTAGCTTTCACTGAGCTTAAAGTTTTATGAAGGATGCAGAAAAATAAACAATTGCAGTATAATATGATATGTTCTGCAGTGTTTAGGGAATCACTTTTTTTTTCATGGCTTTTTAAAATTCAAGTACAATTAACATATAGTGTTACGTTAGTTTCAGCTGTACAGTATAATGATTCAGCAATTCTGTGTATTACTCGGTGCTCATCATGATAAGTGTACTCTTAATTCACTTCATCTGTTTCACACACACACACACACACACACACTTCCCCTCTGGCAACCACCAATTTGTTCTCTGTATTTAAGAGTCTGGCATTTTGTCTCTTTATTTTCTTTGTTTTATTTCTTAAATTCCAGATAGGAGTGAAATCATATGGTATTTGTCTTCCTCTGACTTATCTCACTTAGCATTATACCCTCTAAGTCCATCCATGTTGTTGAAAATGGCAAGATGTCTTTCTTTTTTATGACTGAGTAATATAGTTCAGGGTGTGTGTGTGTAATATCCAATAGCTTGCATTTAGGGATCCACTTTTAAGTACTTGCCTTTATGGAGTTCTCAGTTCACCAGGGAGGGACAGATCACTAAGTACCCAAGGTACTAGCCAGTACATATGTGCCATGATGTAAAGAGATACACAGAGAGTTTGGAAACCAAGAGACACCTAGCTTGCAGAGCTGGTGGAAATGATATTTTTGTTAGATCAGAAGGAAGAATTAGCATTTTTAGCAAGGGTAAAATAATGAGGGAAGTATCAAGGCAGAGGGAACAACAGCATTAAATATCCATGGTTAGAAGAAGCATGCTCACCTGAGATTTACTGTGGCCTGATTGTAGTTGGTATATTGGGATAGGGTCAATGAAGAAGTAGGATTGAGACTAGAGAGATATGGATGCCTGGGTGGCTCAGCAGTTGAATGTCTGTCTGCCTTTGGCTCAGGGCATGATCCCAGGTCCGGGGATCAAGTCCTGCATCGGGTTCCTGCAGGGAGCCTGTTTATGTCTCTGCCTCTCTCTCTGTCTCTAATGAATAAATAAATAAAATCTTAAAAAAAAAAAAAAAAAGAGTAGAGAGATAAGCAGGGCCCAGATCACTCGGGGTTCTATAAGTCCTTATATCATACTTAACAATTTAAATTCATAACCTGAAGTAGAGTAAGCTTAGAGGGAGCTCAGGTTTCTACTTTGGATTTAGTATATGACCTTGCTATTTCAGGATATTTCTCATTAGAATGAGAATTGTTCATTATTGCACCAAAATGGGAAGAAACCATATTTTAAAAATAAAACAAAACCCATAAACCAAAAAGCACCCTTTCCCTGAATAGACATTCTTCCAAAGGAATACATCCAGATGGCCAACAGACACATGAAACGAGGGATCCCTGGGTGGCGCAGCGGTTTGGCACTTGCCTTTGGCCCAGGGCGCGATCCTGGAGACCCGGGATCGAATCCCACGTCGGGCTCCCGGTGCGTGGAGCCTGCTTCTCCCTCTGCCTATGTCTCTGCCTCTCTCTCTCTCACTGTGTGACTATCATAAATAAATAAAAATTAAAAAAAAAAAAAAGACACATGAAACGATCCTCAACGTCACCCATTATCAGGGAAACGAAAACCAAAACCGCAGTGAGATATCATCTCACACCTGTCAGAATGGCTAAAATAAAAAAGGCAAGAAATAACAAGTGTTGGCAAGGATGTGGAGAAAAGAGAACCTTTGTGCACTGTTGGTGGGAATGTAAATTGGTGTAACCGCTATAGAAAACAGTTTGGAGGCACCTCAAAAAATTAAAACTAGAATTACCGTATGATCCAGTAATTAATTCTAGTACTGGGTATTTACCCAAAGAAAATGAAAACCCTAATTTGAAAAATACTTGCACCTTTATGTTTATTGCCATAGTCAAGGTATGGAGGCAACACAAGTGTCCATCTCTAGATGAGTAGATAAAAAAGATGTGATTTTACACAAACAGTGGGATACTACTCGGCCATAAAAAGAATGGAATCTTGCCATTTGTGACAATATGGATGGGCCTAGAGGATATTACACTAAATGAAGTAAGATAAAGACAAATACATACGATCCTTTACATGTGGAATCTAAGAAACAAAACAAGTGAACAAATGAAAAACAGACTATTAAATACAGAGAACAATCTCATTGCTGTGGGCTGGGGAGATGGGCAAGACAGATAAAGGATGTTAAGCGATAGAAACTTTCAGTTATAAAATATGAAAGCCACAAAGATGAAAAGTACAGCATGGGAAATATAGTCAATAATATTATAATGTTGTATGGTGACAGATCAGGTGACTACACTTGTGGTGAGCAGTAATATATGGAATTGTCTAATTACTATGTTATATTCCTTTTTTTTTTTTTTAGAATAACAAAAAATATTTTACTGAAACATAAGATTTACAGAAGTTTCCAGACAAGCCATACAAAATGGTCACAAGCTTTTTCTTGAAGGAAGGATTCTACACTTGACAGCAAAGTAACAATGTTATTAGTGAGGGCTGTGATGTTTGTTTAATGTTCCCATTTTGGTTCAAACAATCAAGCTTGTCCATCTACAGCGTCTAAATAAAGTTAGACTTGGCTAGAGAGCATATTCTAAAGAACTGGTTAGCTGCTTTTAACCGATGCAATCAGATCACCATAAAAAGGGGGAAAGGAGCCCATAAAATTAAAATAAAACTACCTCTCCCCCTCAAAAATAATAATAAAGAAAAACACCCACACCCCTGCAGCTAACCCTGACAACTACCTTCATTCACAGTGCTTTATACTTAAACCATGATGGGGGAAATGAATAAAAGCAGAGAGGGGCCACTGCTTTTAAACGTTTCACAACAATCCAGATGGTACTTCTAGCCTCTGCTCATGCTTTACAATAGTGAATCAGGATAAGACATAGATTTGCTTATATGCATTTAATCACTAAAGGACTGAAGATGTCTGGGCTTTTATTCTGTAATGTTTCTAAGACTGTGTCCATTAAATGCAAACAAAAAAGGAAGAAGTCTTGGCAGAACAGGAGAAGTGATGCACACTTGATGATCAGATCGATTTTAAATATTATTCATGACATATAGCCTAGTCCATGCTCTAGCTGTTTCTATGGCTTGGGCTTTGTTGGTCTTCCACTGCTCCGCTACATCATTTGCTAACGGATCATCTGGATTGGGAGCACTTAACAAAGCCTGGATCGATACCAGAACTGTGCGGATCTGCAGTGCTGGGGACCACTTATCTTTCAAAATATCTAAACATATTCTTCCCAACTTGTCTACATTAGGATGATAAATTTTGGTCATGAAACGTACTTTAGGGGCTGCCATCGGGTATTCTTCTGGAAGGAATAGTTCCAGTTTAAAAGTCCCTCCCTCAAAGGGGGAATCCTGAGGGCCAGCAATGACCACATGAAAATAACGGGTGTTGCTCTCATCTGGTTCTGCTTTAATGCCAGGAACTGGTTCTGCCAGCAAACGCTGGGTTTCCTTGATTATCCTGCGGGGCAGCCCGGCCATCTTGTTAGATCCCGAGTTCGGCCTCTGCTCTCGACCCTCACTATGTTATATTCCTAAAACCAATACAACATTGTATGTCAACTGCATTTCAATAATAAAAGTAAATTAAAAAAAGAATAAAATGGGGCATTTGGGTGTTCAGGTCATGTTTTCAGGTCACTGATCTCCACTCAGTGTGGAGTCAGCTGGAGATTTTCACTCTTCCTCTTCCTCTTCCTTTGCCCCTCCCTCTCTCATTATTTCTTTCTGAAACAGATAAAATTTAAAAAGGAAATGAAGACCCTTTAAGACTAGCAAGGAAAAACAAAAACCACCCTCTGTTTATTAGTAATTATCCTCTGTGGCTGTAAAACCAGATTTCCCAAGAGAATTTTTTAAGAGCTCTGTGAAAGAAAAACATGTGTCCTAGTGGAGGCCTCTGTGGTGCAATGTAAGGCTGTGATGAATAGTGCATGTTTCTGGCTTCAAAGATTTTATGAGTGGAATGAGCAGTCAGAATAGACTGAGGGATACTGAGAGGTTTTTTGGTTTGACTGCTCTCAAAAGGATCAGAGCCATGGAGATCTCACAAAGGTTGGAATATAGTCTTGGGACTTTCAAATCTGAATTCACTAACTTTTAGTATTGTTTTAGTCTTGCATATAATTAATTATTGTGTTTTCTCGTCTTTTAGAAAGAAATTCAAGCCATGAGTCAGTGCCATCATCCTAATATTGTGTCTTACTACACGTCTTTTGTGGTAAAAGATGAGCTGTGGCTAGTCATGAAGTTGCTAAGTGGAGGTGAGTAGAGTACAATGAAATGCTAACTTCCATTGGCTGGAAAGTTACTAAAAATACTCTTTTTTTATTCTGGTTTGGTGGTCATGGACATTTGCATTTGGGGAGATACTGAAAATATAGTATCTGCTAAAGATGCTAACGTATGATCTGACACAGATTTCACATATTGTATTTGATTGTCATGAATGACTCTTTTTTTTTTTTTTTTTTTGATTGTCATGACTGTTAAGTTTCTCTTAATCTGTGATGATTCCCTCCAGCTTCCTCTGTTCCATGACAGAAACTTGTTAAAGCTTCTGGTCTGAAGGGTCTGAGAATAACTGTCCTGTACAATGACCCGCATTTTGAATTTATCTGCTTATTCTTCCTGGTGGCATTTAACTTGATTCGTATTTCTCTCTTTCTTGCAAATTGAAAATTGAACCTGAAGGTTTGATTAGATTTAAGTTAAAAATTTGAGGAAAGTGTTTTGTGGGTGATGCTGTGTGTTCGTAGTGCATCACACCAGGAAGTGTTTGTTCTCTTGTTATATCTTTAATGATGACATTCTTTTTGATTGTGTATGGTTTTGACAGCCAGGCCTCACCATGGAAAGGTGGACTTTTTTTCCCTTTGGAGCTAGCAGAGAATCTGTGAGGTGGTGATACTTTGGCACTATATCTAGTTTCCCACCTAAGTCTTTCATTTAATGATTTTAGCATACATTCAGAATCCTTGTTTGAATCAGTTATTCTGTCAAGGGTTGCAGAATGGTGACTTTTCTTACTGCATCCATTCTTTTACATTTATAAACTAGTATTCTTCTGGAACTTTGCCTCTTTAACTGGGGTTCTTTGGTTAATCTATATTGTAATTCCTACTAAAAATGCAAGATAAATAATTCTTTTTTTTAAGAGTAAAAAATTGATTTAATATTCACCAATGGTGGATTTTCAGAGTAAAAACTTGATTTAATATTCACCAATGGTGGTGAATGAGGGTTTTTTTTTGTTGTTGTTGTTTTTTGTTTTTCCTTTTTCCTGTTGGATAAGGCTCTCATTTTTTAATAATGTCATTATATAGACACAAGGAATTTTTTAATATTTTATTTATTCATGAGAGAGAGAGAGAGAGAGAGAGAGAGAGAGAGAGAGGCAGAGACACAGGCAGAGGGAGAGGCAGGCTCCATGCAGAGAGCCCGATGTGGGACTCGATTCCGGGACTCCATGCAGGGAGCCTGATGTGAGACTCCATCCTGAGTCTCCAGGATCAGGCCCTGGACTGAAGGCGGCACTAAACCCCTCAGCCACTTGGGCTGCCCGAAACAAGGAATTTTATATATTTGTGACTTTCAGTCAGTTTTACTCTATGTTTTGGATGCTCAGATTGTCCAAAATTTTGTCAATGAGTCTCCCTTTAAGTTTACTCTTGTGTCCTCTTGACATGAATCGATTAAGTCTGGTTACTTTATGTTTGGTTCAGGATTTCCTAGGGTCACATTTATGGTTTTCCCAGACCCAGAATCAGCCAATACTCTAACGAGTTATGTTCTTTGTTAGGTGAAAGGTATCTAGAGAGCATAGGGGGGATGTTTAGGATAAGAACTTGGAAATACAGTGTATTAAAAATTATTATTTGGAATTAATACTTCCTTTTTTGTTTTAAAGATTTTATTTATTTGTTCATGATAGACAGAGAGAGAGAGAGGCAGAGCCACAGGCAGAGGGAGAAGCAGGCTCCATACCGGGAGCCCGACGCGGGACTCGATCCCGGGATTCTAGGATCGTGCCCTGGGCCAAAGGCAGGCGCTAAACTGCTGAGCTACCCAGGGATGCCCTGGAATTAATATTTCCAATTCAAGTTTAACTTTATAGACTTTTAAAACTTAAGATTATACTTGAATCTCTTTTCTCCTACACAGAAAATTTTGGTCCCCAATATTAACATAATTAATTATGGTGTGCTTTATGCTGCAATATCTATGTAGTTATTTCTGATTGAGTCCTTAGAATGAAATGTAAGTATTGCTGATTGCCAACAGCAGACCATTGTCATGTATAGATTGAACATTTTGTTACGGTTGCCCGAAGGCCCAAGTCATGTAATAAATTAGACATTTTGCTAAAGCATCGGTTTGAATCTTGTGGCAAGATTGGGAGGACCAGTGAGTGATGGAACTGCCCAACCTTCCCATTACTATGCTGCCTGGTTTTTGTTTGCATATGTATTTTGTGTGGGAGCATGATTTTCCATTTTAGAATTGATAATATTATACTTAATTTAACACCTTACTTCCCCAGAGAGGCCATAAAGGAAAGAGCATAGGCTTTAGAATTAAATTCCATCTTTCCTACTTAGCAGGTTTATGTCATTGGGCAAAACTGTTTAAACTCTTTGAACTATTACTTTTCTGTCAAATGGGGATACCTTTCTGTATTTTAGGGTATTGGGGTATAGTAAATGAAGTGACATGTTAGGCATCTGTCATTGTGCTGACATGTAGATGCACAAGAAATTTAGCCATTAATAATAATCCCTTGTTATTTGATGCTTTTCAGTGTAGCCAGAATCACCTTTTTGTTTCAATCCCATTAGTGACACACTGGAGAAACTGGATGGCTTTGTTAAAGGCCCTGTTCATATGATGGTTGGAATCCTTGCTAACACCAACCACCTTTCAAGATGGTGGTCAAGCATGGTTCTTTCAGTATGGACAGATATGGGAATATTAGGTAATACTGTATCTTTCATTATTGATCACCTGTAGCTTAATTTTCTTTATTTGCGATTTACAAAAATGTATATAATACAGAGTTTTTAATGTTTTGCTAAAAAGTCCTCTGATGAATAGGAATACATTGTCTTGCTTATTAATTCCTTCATCCACACCTCTATACTGGCCTATCCTTTCTGCTACTCCTAAGCAGAATGAATATGTATTTTTTTAAAGAATCCCTGTTTCTCTCTCAGGCAGTATATATCCTGATCTTAGAAGAGGCAGGACATATAGCTGGGCAGGGTGTCTTTTAAATGTACCTCTCTGCCCCTCCTTGTCTTAGGTTTCCTGGGACAGTGCCCAATTTTTCTAGCCTGGTACTCAGCAGATTTCCTGGAGGATAATTTTCAAACATGTTCCAGCCATTAACTCTTTTTAAATTACTTGTATTTTTATGAGTCAACATAATCTTGTATCTGAACCTTTTAAAATATTAAAGAATTGACATCTTTTGTTTTAGGAAAACGAAGTCTTGCTGTTTTAGTTATGAAGTGAGAAAACATTTAAACTAAAGAGATATATTAAGCACTTTTTAGAAAACAAAAGCTAGAACTAAGCAGAACTTTAAAATGTTTTTGAAATACAAAGAAACATGCCAAGGTTTATAGCTCAATTAAAATTTCATTCGTCAAATACTTACAGATCACCAATACATTGGTGAATCATACTGTTAGTTCCTTGCTCTTAGGGGCCTTATAGCTAATACAGAAAAGTTACAATTAAATAATTATAAATTTGTAGAGGACCAGGAAGAAGTATCAGGTGCCATGGGAACAGGTACCAGAATTTAACCTTATTGAGGGAGAATGGATGCAGTGGGCTTTTAACACAGGAGGTGATGTTCAGCTGAGACCTGAAGAATAGGTAATCATAATTAGCCAGGTGAAGTGGGAGGTGGAGGTGGTATCAAGGGGAAGATGTGAGAAGTGATCCAGATAGAGGGAACACTGCGCAGAGAAGGTTCTAGAGGCAGGATGGAGTAGTGTGGTGTGAACTGATGGGGGCTTACAGTTGGAGCCAAGAGAGTGAGAAGAGGAGATCATTGATAAGCAGGGGCTCCCTTTGAGTAATTAAATAACGTAAATAACCAGAGTTAACAGAATTATGTTTAGGCTACTTTCACATCAACCTTTTTCACCAGAATATTTAAAACAGAAGCATATTTTTCATTTAGCAACATTGTACTGATGTAGAATTTATTATTATTATTATTATTTTAAGATTTTATTTATTTATTCATAGACACAGAGAGAGGCAGAGACACAGGCAGAGGGAGAAGCAGGCTCCACGCTGGGACCCCGACGTGGGACTCGATCCCAGGTCTCCAGGATCACACCCCAGGCTGCAGGCGGCGCAAAACCGCTGCGCCACGGGGACTGCCCTGGTATTATTAATTATTTTTTAAAAGATTTTATTTACTTATTCATGAGAAACGCAGAGAGAGAGAGAGAGGTGGAGACACAGGCAGAGGGAGAAGCAGGCTCCATTCCAAGTAGTGAGCCTGACGTGGGACTCGATCCCAGGTCCCCAGGACCACACCCTGGGCTGAAGGCAGCGCTAAACCGCTGAGCCACCCGGGCTGCCCTGATGTAGAATTTAAGCTAATTAAATCGAAAACTAAATTGGAACTATCACTCTTAATGCCTATCAAGCAGGTGGACATCATAGTTAAAATAAGTTTAATTCAGTGTGTCAATATTACAGTCATTTCTTACTGCTTCCTTATAACTGTGATATTCCTGTGTGAATTAAACTCTGATGTCGAATATTGGAATTTATTAGCATAGGAAGTTAATCTTCAGAAATGAGAAGCAGTTCTGATCTAAATTGCTATTTCTGCAATTTATTAGCACCAAACTACAATATAAGAGTTTTAGAAATCAAAGTAATTAAGCTTCTAAAAGGAGAAGAGAGAGAATTACCTGTAGGACTCAGAGGTATGAATTGTGGCAATGCAGAAATCTAATTTAAATTCACTGTCTTAGTGCATTTTGTTGTTTAGGGACATTTTCAACTTTGTCATTTTCCAAGACATAAAAAGTATGAGAACTTCTTTGATATAAGCAGGACCCAGGTAAAATATCTGATAATAATAGTGACCAGCTTTGGTTGTTCAAGCAACAGTGGAGGGGCATGTCTGTTTGGAATGGAATACTCAGCCCAAGCAAATTTTGTACCCTTTGATACCTTCCACAGCTTAGGAAGACACAAAACCCAGTGTCTAAGTACGGGTTAAAGCTTCTTGGCAGAAATTTTAGTAACCAAAATGAGCTAATTATGGACTCAAAGAGTATTTTTTCATTAAAATAAATTGAGGAGGGGCACCTGGGTGGCTCAGCGGTTGAGCATCTGCCATAGGCTCAGGGTATGATCCTGGGGTACCAGGATCGAATCCCACATTGGGCTCCTTATATGGAGCGTGCTTCTCTCTCTGCCTTTGTCTCTGCCTCTCTGTGTCTCATGAATAAATAAATAAACTCTTCTAAAAAAAACAAAATAAAATAAAATAAATTGAGGAAATGAACATGTCAGCTGAGTTATTTGAGCTATAATTATGGGACATAACAAGTGTCTTTAACCAGCAGCTGTTTTGCCACTTTTTCAATATTATTTTAATATTTAGTAATAATTTTCTTGGGCAGTTATAGATTTGCATTGCTTTTTAAATGTTTTGTGCCATAGGCTAGGAAAGCAGACATCAGATAGATTTTTAGAATAGGTGTCTACATTTTAACTTTTTGCTTTGTTTCCAAATTTGTACCCGTTTCCTCTTATTTTCTAGTCTTCTTTTACTCTGAGAAATGCTTAGGTATCAATGGACAGTGTTTATCAGGGAGTCGAGGGTGTTAAAATACATCTTGGGCTTACCTTAGATCTTTGGAATGACGGTCTGCAAGATCTGGAAATCTGCATTTTTAGCTATTTTGCCAACTAATCCCTTCATGTGTTAAAATTTGAGAACTGATTTTCCCTGTAGGATATTTCTTTCAGATTGTGTGCCCAAGGACATAAGATTGTGTGTGCTGTTATAACCTTCCTTCATTATTTTTACTCATTATTATGTGTTAATTGAATCATCTAGTGATAATCTACAGTCTTTTTTTTTTTTACAGTCTTTTATTTAGCATGTTTTACTTTCACATTTCTTAGTTGATATGAAGAGTTCTATGTAATTTTGATAATTGAGGAAGGACAATTGTAAGCACCATCATCACTTTAGATGCTATAAAATGCTGGAGGAATCATAGGGGAAAAAATGTGTACCTTCCAGGACCAAGATTTTCAGTTAAAAATAAAAGTCTTTGTGACATAATCATCCCTCCACCTATAAAAATTATACTGTTGGAAGACTGAAATGGAAAAGAAACTGTATATTAAAAAAAGGGGACTTCTTAAATACCTTATTCAGAATGTCTGTCCTGGACATAGACTGGGGATGTGCACTGCTTTAATTTCTCTATTGATCACTGATGATGTGAAATCATTTACCAATCTTTTAAGATTTTTTTTTTAAAGATTTTATTTATTTATTCATGACAGACACAGAGAGAGGCACAGACACAGGTAGAGGGAGAAGCAGGCTCCAAGCAGGGAGCCTGATGGGGGACTCGTTCCTGGGTCCCAAGATCAGGCCCTGGGCTGAAGGTGGCGCTAAACCGCTGAGCCACCTGGGCTGCCCCAATCTTTTAAGATTTTAAAAAGGAATTCCTGCTTCAAACTCTTCAAAAATACAGCTCTAATAACTTTCTATGTGCTCTACGTCTCTATTGCTCCATTTTTTTTTTTTTGATCCACCAGACTGGAAGTTCCCAGAAAGTCAGCAGTTATACCATGTGTATCTTGATATATTTTATAGTACCTAGATCTAGATCTTGCATATAATATGGCCAAATTGTTGAAGAGATAAATTGTATTTTTAATTCCTACTAGGAATGTCTCCCTTTGCATTATTTTAGATACTCTTTACATTATAAATATGTAATTCAGTTGGCATTTATTTATACAAATGTCTTTTACTAAGCAGTTCCTGTGTGGCCTGGATTTCTCAAAAGAATGAAACATATGGCCTGTTGGTATAGTCACTTTGCTTTGGGGACTAATATGTGATTGATTAAACTAAGCAGAACACAATGTCTCCTTTAGGGCTCTCCCTATGTGAGTCACAGTCTTGTGAATCCCAGCAATAGAGAGAGGGAAAGTGTGATAATGTATATTAAAATGCCACTTGGAATCTGGAGCCTCCCTGATTCATGATCTCCAGAGAGTAAATTGCCTGTCTCCTGCAGGACCTGGGGAGTGGCAGTGACCTGGCTTTCAGAGAGGGGGGAGGAATCTGGGTATCTTCTTCCTTGATATATGAACTTTGAACCAGTTTTCTTGTTTTCAGCACTTTCCTTCAATCCCCTCTCACTTCCTCTTAGGTAGACCTTGCAGAATGTGCTCTATAGGGATATTGTTTCCTAGTTGGCAGCACTCCTTCACAGGCATTGGAGTTGCAGATTGCTCTACTCTGCTTAGTTAACTTTTTGTTTTCCTTCCTCCAAAAGATGATTGTCGTCTCTCTTCTTTATCTTCTTTGTTTTTCATTTTCATCCTGGATTTATGCCTTTTTTAAAAATCAAGTTTATCAAGTTAGTGGATTTCAAATGAGATCTGAAGTAAATGTGTATATTTTGAAGGATTCCATCTAGATCTTTCTTTCCATCTATTTGGAAGTACATTTTTTCTTGTAAGTACGAAATAAAAACACCTACTAGGGCAAGTTTTCAACAAGTGTGTGTTTTAGCTTTAGTCTTGATGATTGAGATCTTATGCCAAGAAATGGAACTCCAATCCTTTCTGTGCCCTTTATGTTATAATCTACTTCTTGGCACAATTTCAGTGTTTTGGTTTGTGTTTTGATTTGTGATCTTTATGAGCCATTGTTCTGCCAGAAATCTTCTGAATCTCTAGCAAACTTGTTTTGATTATAATAATTAGTTATGGGAGTCAACATTCTATGATTTTAATTATTGCATAGGTGTCTCTTCCCTCTCTTTGTCCCGATTTTTAGTCGGAGCATTATTTCTGATTGGGGAAGAATGGGAGTGATGATACATCTGGGCTGTTATTGAAAGAGAACTGCCATTTTTATTCTTTTCATGTATTTCTTCACCTATTTTATTATTATTAACCTGAAGAATAATTTTAACCCTTAAGTTAGTTTGCATGTACATGTGATCTTTTTCCTGCCAAGCATTTCTTCTGTAATTTGACCTGTGTTGTATTTTTATGTTTATTTGTAGAATGTTGCATAATCTGATCCAGTGTTGGAAACATAAATTACTTTGTGGTATCATATACTAAAGTGTTATTGATGGGTATAGTTTACCTAGGTATTCTTCAGATGTGGTTAAAAATCCTCTACTACTTTTTCCAAATTCTTACTATAAAAGTCTAAAGGAGGGACACTTGGGATCCCTGGGTGGCGCAGCGGTTTAGCGCCTGCCTTTGGCCCAGGGCACGATCCTGGAGACCCGGGATCGAATCCCACGTCAGGCTCCCGGTGCATGGAGCCTGCTTCTCCCTCTGCCTATGTTTCTGCCTCTCTCTCTCATTCTGTGTGACTATCATAAATTAAAAAAAAAAAAAAAAGATTTAAAGGAGGGACACTTGGGTGGCTCAGTGGTTGAACGTCTGTCTGCCTTTGGCTCAGGGCATGATCCTGGAGTTCCGGGATCAAGTCCCACATCGGGCTTCCTTCGTGGAGCCTGTTCTCCCTCTGCCTATGTCTCTGCCTCTCTCTCTTGGTGTCTCTCATGAATAAATAAATAAAAATCTAAAAAAAAAATAAAAGTCTAAAGGAAATGCTGGTGTTACACTGCAATTGGATGTTAGGCTGCTTCCTGTTTTAGAAAATAAATTATTAACTTTAAACTTCTGCATTTCCTTGTATTTGCCATTTTTTCCTTTCCTACACAGTTAAGTTTATGAAAAGGCTTACATGTGGTTTGATTTCAAAATGGCTCTGAATTATATTGAGTCAAAAATTTATGGCAAATTTTGTCTTCTGTTTTCAGGTTCTGTTCTAGATATTATTAAGCACATTGTGGCAAAGGGGGAGCACAAAAGTGGAGTCCTAGATGAACCTACCATTGCCACAATACTCAAAGAAGTGCTGGAAGGGTTGGAATACCTGCATAAAAATGGACAGATTCACAGGTATGTAAAAGACAACACTGTTCTTTTTTGGAAACTGCAGGAGTAGTTGTGCTATATCATTTCCTTGAGCCCATTCTTCAAAGTGGTTAGGGTTCAGTTACACAGCTAGCAAATATTTAAAAAGTAACAAATACTTGAGTCAAATTGGAAAATACAAAAAACAGGAAAAATTCATAATTTCCTGCCAGAAATATATAAAACAAAACTGTATGCATAATGTTGTCAGTTGCTTTTATTGTTTTTGTTTTATTTTGTTTTGTTTGGACCTTGGGTATTTTCTCAAATTATTACAAGCTCTTTGTAAAATAACTTTTTATTAAGGCACTTTTTTTTTCTTTTTTAATGTAAAAAGCTATGTTATCATTTCATGGTCCAGGTATTCCTGGCTGTCTATCTATTCAGTCCCTGGATATAGATAACAAGAATTCAAATGGTGATGGATTCTATGTTACTCAATCTGTTTAATCCCTGGATTTGGTTTTCCTTCATATCAGACAGTCTTTTCAGTCATTCTGAAGGATATTCTCACCGAATATAAGAACTTGCTATTGACAGTGCTTTTCTCTCAGCAGTTGAAAGATGCTGTACCACTTAATTCTGGCCTCTAGGGTTTCAGATGAAGTCTGTCGTTGAATTGGTGTTCTAATTGTTACTTTTCTATGACTGCTTTTGAGATTTTTTCTGTCTTTGGTTTTCTCAAGTTTAATTATGATGTCTTGGTGTGAATTTCCTCAGGTATATTCTGTGTGGGTTTCCCAAACTTCTCAAATTTGTAGGATTTCGCCTTTCACCAAATCTGGGGAGTTTTCAGCCATTATGTTTTTGGGTACTTTTTCTGCCATTTTTTCCTCCTCTTTTTCTGGGACCTTGATCATGCGAATGTTACCTGTTTTGCTATTGTTACTGTAAGCCCTGAGGCTCAGCTCAATTTTTGTCATTTTTTTTCCTCTCTTCAGATTGAGTAAATTTTCTTGATTTGTTTTCAAGTTCTGATTCTGTCCTCTGTATTCTGCTCCAGAATCCACTAAGTTTTTATTTCAGTTATTGTAATAGTTTAGATAATTTGGTTCTTTTTTATAGCTTTTATTTCTTTGCTGAGATTTTGTTTTTCATGTTTTGATAGTCACATATTACATGTTAAAGCATTTTTATAATGGCTGCTTTAAAATTCTTGTCAGATAATTCCAAGATCTGATTCATTTCGGTGTTGATGTCAGTTAGTGGTCTTCTCTTATTAAAGTTCTTCTTGGTTCTTGGTATGATGAGTGGTTTTTAAATTGTATCCTGAATATTTTGGATATTGTATTAGGAGACTCTTGATCCCATTTAAATATATATTTTAGTAGGTATTTATCCTGTTTGGTTTAGTATGTAAGTCTTGGTTGATTTTAGTGGGCTGTAGTTCCAGTGATGGTTTGACTTTTAGAGCCCTTACAGTACTGTTCTGGTTTGTTTTGTTTACTTGGCACTCCTGGGGTTCTCTGCTCAATCCCTGCTGATAATCCTTGAGAGCAAAAGTGCACCTCCCCAGGCCTGGTGCTGCTAGGAGATAGGTGCTGTACCTGTGGGTCTGGGAGCACTTTTGTGGGCCAGGCTACTTGGTGCCAGTGGGGCTGTCATTCATTCTCTTATGGTATTATCTAGGGGGATGAAAGCATTTGCCTAAGCCACCTTTCTCTACTGAGTAGGGAGTTGGGAGACAGCTGGGCCTGGGTTGCCTTTGCCACTGACCAGGAAGTACTGGGCCTGGGTTGCTGTGTGCAGCTGGGTAGAGGGCTAGGAGATGCTGGCTGGGCTCTTGGTGCTGCTGGTGTGATTAGTATGGGCCTAACCTGTTGCAGTGTATGTGGGTGGGAGGTGGAGTTTCCCATTTGGTTCTTCATTTAAGCCTCTGGTTCTTGGCATTGTGGGCCAGCCTGCAACCCCAGCTATAGGATCCTTAGCTAAATTTGTGCTAGGTTGCCCTTTCCTGCTCCTTTTGCCACAGAGAGCAGGCTTGGAGGGTTTTCTGGTGGCTGTTTTTGTTTTTGTGTGTCATCTATTCCTGTTGATATGTCTAGGATATGTGAGATTAAAAGAAAACTCAGGTGGGATACCTGGGTGGCTCAGCGGTTGAGCATCTGCCTTGGGCTCAGGGAGTGATCCCAGAATCCTGGGATCGAGTCCCACATTGAGCTTCCTGCATGGAGCCTGCTTCTCCCTCTGCCTATGTCTCTGCCTCTCTCTCTGTGTGTCTCTCATAAATAAATAAATAAAATCTTTAAAAAATAAATAAAAAATAAAACTCAGGGAAGTTGTATAGTGCTCTTTAAAAGTGGTCGTAGATTAGTGTAAATGTTTATAGCCAACTCTAGGGTAGCCACTAAAAAAAAAATTGATATGCTGAGAAGAGAGAAAAATGGAATCACGTAAAATGCTCAGTTAAAAACAAGGCAGATAAAAGGTGGAAGACACAAGATTGGTAATCTTAAAAATCACCTACCTTTAAGGAACTAGAAAAGAAAAATAAGAATAAACTAAGCCCCAAGTTAGCAGAAGGAAGTAAATAAAAAGATCAGAATAGAAATACATGAAATACAGATTTTTTGGATGTGACACAAATAGCAAAGGTAAGAAAAGAAAAATTAAACAAGTGAGACTGCACCAAACTAAAAAGTTTCTTCACAGCAAAGAAAACCAACAAAATGAAAAGGCAGCCTATGCAATAGGAGAAGATATTTGCAAACCACATTATCCGATGGGGGTTAATATCCAAAATATACAAGGAACTCCTATAACTCAGAGACAGAAAACTGCAAATAAGCTAACCAAAAAATAGGCAAAGACTTCAAATAGACATTTCTCCAAAAACCAATACACAAGAAAATGTTCTCAACATCACTAATCCTTGGGGAAATGTAGTCAGAACCACAGTAAAGTACCTCACATCTGTTAGGATATTTATTTTCAAAAAGACAGGAGATAACATCCTGGATGAGGATGTGGAGAAAAGGGAACTTTCTTATATCAGTGATAGCAACATAAACTACTATAGCCATTATGGGAAACTGTGTGGAAGTTCCTCAAAAAAATTAAAAATAGAATTACCATATGATCCAGCAATTCCACTTCTGGGTATATACTCAAAGGAAGTGTGAAATCAGTGTCTCAGAGCGAAGCTATGAAAACGACCTAAGTGTCCATCAATGGATGAATGGATAAAGATGTGGATTATTATTCAGCCATAAAAGAAAGAAGGAAATCTTGTGGTTTTTTGACAATACAGATGAACCTGGAAGGCATTATCCTAAGAGAAGTAAGCCAGAGAGAGAATGACAAATACTGCATGGTATCGCTTATTAGTAGAATCTTAAAAAAAATAAAAAGTTGAATTCATAGAAACAGATAGTAGAAAAGTGGTTACCATGGACTGGGGGGGTGGTCAAGGGAATGAGCAATTGGTGAAAGGGTGTAAACTCGGTTATGAATAAATTCTGCTAAGAGAGTAGAACTTAAATGTTCTCATAAAAAAAAAAAAGTAAGAGAGGCGATAGATGTGTTAATTTGATGGGGAGAATCCTTTCCCAGTGTGTGTGTGTGTGTGTGTGTGTGTGTGTGTGTGTGTGTGTGTGTGTATATATCAGACCATCACATTGTATACTTTAAATATTTTACAATTTTGTCAGTTATACCTTTTTTTTTATAAAGATTTTATTTATTCATGAGAGAGAGAGAGAGAGAGAGAGAGAGAGGCAGGCAGAGATGCAGGTAGAGGGAGGAGCTGGCTCCATGCAGGGAGCCTGACGCGGGACTCGATCCCGGGTCTCCAGGATCATGCCATGGACTGAAGGCAGGATCCTGAGCTAAACCGCTGAGCCACCAGAGCTGCCTAGTTATACCTTTTTTTTAAAAAAACAAAACAAAACAAACAAAAAAAACACCTACTTAACCCTAATCCTTCAGTAAATCGATAAGCAAAGGCCTGGAAAAGTATCTGATTATAGATCAGACAACTATCAAGTTCTAAAAATGAGTTTTTTTTTTAAGATTTTATTTATTTATTCATAGACACACACAGAGAGAGAGAGAGGCAGAGACACAGGCAAAGGGAGAAGCAGGCTCCACGCAGGGAGACCGATGTGGGACTCGATCCCGGGTCTCCAGGATCACACCCCAGGCTGCAGGCGGCGCCAAACCGCTGCGCCACCGGGGCTGCCCTAAAAATGAGTTTTTTTTTTTTTTTAAATTTTTTATTTATTTATGATAGTCACAGACAGAGAGAGAGAGAGAGGCAGAGACACAGGCAGAGGGAGAAGCAGGCTCCATGCACCGGGAGCCCGATGTGGGATTCGATCCTGGGTCTCCAGGATCACGCCCTGGGTCAAAGGCAGGCGCCAAACCGCTGCGCCACCCAGGGATCCCTAAAAATGAGTTTTTAAGGAATAATCATAATGTGGAGGGAGTAAAAGCAAGGTATTTCCAAACACACACACACACACACACACACACACACAACACAAATTTTTAATTAGGTTATTCTGAGAATAGCACCATTTTAAAGAAATTAAAATGTATACCAGTGAAATCAGCCCATTTATAGAAGTATCTTACTCTAGGAAAAAATGAATAATGTTTGTTGTCTAAATTTTCCAACCAGCTTACATCTTCACAGAGAAACATGATCTCTCTCTATGGTTATGAAGGAGAACATATGACTAACAAGTAATGAATAAACTAGAAATCTTGGAAACATTGAAGGCATATTCTTCAGACAATACGATTTTTCATCTCAAATTGTATCCAGTCATTTCGTCTCTAATTAAAATAATGTGTTAACAGATGACAGAAAAGGGTATGACCAAAGAGTAAACATTTGGGAATGTATTTCCTTTATTGTCAAGAGGAAAAGGAGCCGTGAAAAACAGGATTCCCATCCGCTGGGTTGTGGTACCCCTATGGATAAATACCTTGATACTAGCAATGTTAATTGGCTCCCAGTGTGTTTCTTCTTTTTGAATTAT